CATTGAAGAGAGGACAAGCTTGTTTTCTGCTGCTATGTAGCCTAGGACATGGAGCAGTGGATTCAAATTGTAGGAAAAAAGAGTATGTTATATTGAAAAAACACAGCTTGAAATTCTCAAAAACAACAAATTTTTACTAGTCTCTCCAAAACATTTTGGAGGCTTCCATTTCATTTCATAATGCTTCAAAGGGCTCCTGTTTCGGTTAGAAATTCAGAGATTTGTATTAACAAATCATACAAATCTCAGAATTACGAAACCGACCTCCCAAGCTTTGCACAGCCCTACTAAAAACGTACCACATGGAGTTCCTTCACAAATTTGATTACTAAGTTTAATATTAGTTTCATTTAGTTACATCTGACAACATAGAAGTGTCAAACCAAGTTGTGGAAGAACTATGTGGGGGAGCAAATTTGAGATTATTTTTGAATTTAGAATGCCTAATTCCTGTAAAATCAGCATACTTTTAAAAAACGTGTCCCTTAATTTTTCAGGCTTGTGAGAAGTATACTTTAACCTTTAAAGGTCAAATATGTTATTTTCTTCAGCAATGGTATAGCAAGCATTTTTCCTTTCTCTGTATTGATTCTTATTCCTTTCCAGTTTTGGTGTTGCTTCTCTTCCTTTAATTAAGCCTTTCCTCTTTATATAAAACTTTCAGAATTAATTTCAATTGGAGATGTGGATATGTAACTTGCATATATGTGACTCCATCCCTGGAATTATTGTTTTACTAAAATCTGCCTATTGTTGTCTCCCTCATAATTTTTCTCTGTGTAGGAACCCGTTGATTTTGCTAAAGTTACTGTGTGCATCTCTATAACACAGATGCTTATGAAACTTTGTTGTGTGCTGATTTTTGTGAAAATAGCTTGCTAACTTTTATCACTGTCTGTCCTATCATATCTGTGTAAATATAAGGACATTTCATTCAATTATTATTCTCTTCTTTTCGGGGTTACCTATCTTACTGGTCTAACCTGTTGAGATAAGCATGCTTCATTTTCAATCAAAAATATACTGGCAAATGAAGGAATGAATAGGATTGTGTATGTTTTGTGTACATTAAATAGAACTGCTTGAGAAAACACTTTGTGAGGAGCAATTTTACCCCAAAATTACTTCAGTGATTTCATAGATCATAAGTGATATAATCTAACACTTGGTTGTGGTATAAAATGAATTCTCGCTATTTTCATTTTTTTAAAAAAAAGTCAATGATTATCTAGCTACAAATAGGCTCTTTTCCTTAATATACTTGACAGATTAGATCAATCTGCTATCTAGTACCGATAGTGACATACTGTAGAAATGAACGTGTCTAGTTCTTAAAAAACTGATGGTGCTTGCATTTAATTTACTGTATTCGTTTTCGAAGCCAAAATGCCAGATAGCAAAGATGTAAAAATTTCACAACATAAGTAAATATTATTAAACCATACTTCAAAGCAAAACAACAGAGTGCAACAGCAACATAACTATTTTGTATCCAGTTGGTATATCACACGCAGCTAGACCATTTGAGTAATTGTTATTTATATAAATTGATGAACTGAGTACCAATACCTTTGTCCCTTTCCAAAGGAGTGAATGAGGTTGCATGGGTTGCCTACTAATGTGTATGAGGCTGAAGGGTTGCAATCCATCCCAACAGTTAGGTATAATGCAAGGATCTTCATTGCAGATGTGGCTATGATTGACTCATACTTTATTTTTCATTTATCGTTTCATAAGTGAATTGAGAATACAGCTATAACATATAGAAAAACTTGGCATTATTCCAAATTTCTTTTGACCAGAAGTTAGCCACTTCAAGTGCCTTTGGTGTCGCTGCAAGAAGGTCCTCCATTGTGCATGTGGCAGGGCTCAGACTGCATTGTAGTAAGTGGTCTGTTGTTTGTTCTTCTCCTCACTCGCATGTCGTGGACCACTTTGTATCCCCATTTCTTAAGATTAGCTCTGCATCTCCTGGTGCTATACCGACTCATACTGATATTGGGAGTTTGGCTTGTTGTCGTTTTAACATAACCACAGTTGCTTTGTGATGCAGTTTGTTTGAGTCCTGTTACTTTTGGACCACTGACTTTGATGGTCTTGATTTGAAATAAGTTTTTTCTTCTGTTAGAAATCCCTTCTCACCAAATTCCTTGTGACATATTGTGCCCATTCGTAGGGAAGTTATTCGTAGCAACTGCTGATAATTCATGTTGATTAACAAGTAATATGTTAATATGGAATACATGACTGTACAGTTAGAAAATAATATTTTCTCTTCTGAGTTTTCTGTGAAACTTCAGCATCTACTCAAATCTATATAAACCAAAATTGTGAAACTTTGGGTATATCTACATTGTCGAATCAATGCCACTTTAATTGCCATGACACAGTGCTTTGGAATCTTGGAAGTTGTAGATTTACAATGTTTTTAACCATATCTGCCAAAGAATGCTAGTGCCTCACCAAACTAAAAATCTGAGGATTCCATTCAATGAGTTGTGGAGTTAAAGTTATGTCGAACTGCATTAATTCTATAGTGTAAATGCATGCTTACAAGAGGAAATGTGAATGGAAAGAACTTGGAGGGTAGGATAACAGGTTGGGGCAAGAGGGTATTTGATTTAGACAAGAAAGAATATTCAACTGGGCAGGGAGCTTGGCAATACCATTTTTAGTTTTTCTCTGGGGGTGTTCGGTTTCCTTTGTTTGGTATCTCTCTCTTTCTCTGCACAAACATCCTCTTAGAACTGAGTAGCAACTCCCACCTCTAGGCTAAGAATATTTGCCTGTCAAATACCTCCTAGCCAAAAAGTTACCGATGCTTCATTCCAACTGTAGATAGATTTTTTTAGAACAACTGGAAGATATGCCTTGCAAATAGGCTAATTTCCCCTTTTCGGTAGCTTGTCTTTACAGACTTTCTCCTAGCTTTTAAAGATTTGTATTTAGAAGAGATGAATGCTTGTTGTTATGTGTTGAGGCTGGCCAAGCAAGTAGAGGATATATATATATATATATATATATATATATATGCATAAAGAGGACGCAGGCTTGCGGGGTCTCAGATATGTGGGGACCAATCATACGCTCTTATTAGTTCTGTTCCAGGAGCAACCTTCCACTTGCTGCATCAAAAGAAAAAGGCATTCTGTATGTTTGCATGTATTTAACTATATTCCTGCTACTTACTAGACTCTTTTTTTAAGTTCAGGAAATGAAGTTAATGAACAGAAGTTAATACCTTCCTTGCTTATATAGTGGTGAGCCCTTAGGAGAAATCTAAGGAAATTGTAAACACGATTAAAATGTAGAAAACTTGAAGTTGCTGTTTATAAATATCTGGACCTTTTAAACCTTTGAAAATAGGAAAATAGAGGGAGGCATAAAAGAGTCGTATGAAATTATACATGGTGTCAAGAAAGTGGATAGGAAGCAGCTTTCCTCTGTCACATTGTTTATATATTTGTGCATATATGCATAAATACAAGTTTCAAGTTTATTCAATGTTTAGACCATAGGTCTTTCACATATAAGGCAAATAGATAAATACATGAAGGCCAAATTATTAAATACAGTATAAAATACACAACTGAAATCCTATAAATCATTGAAATGCAACATATATCGATGACGAGATGCACCTGTAAAATACTACATACTGTATGGACTCACACCTGCATAATTAAAAACCAGATAAATCAAATAGATACAGCATTCTTAAAACTACATAAATAGCCACTATTAGTTAAAAGCATCAGTCGACTGCAATATCAGAAATTAGTCTTGCCTGGATTTTCTGTGCTGCCAGGGCAAAAAGAGATACCTTGTGAAGTAACTACAGGGTTAGTGTCAGCCAAGAGATAGAAAATCTTTTCTGACACAGTGTTGGTTTGAAGGAGATGAAGAATAAGCCCCAGGATTTTAGTTCTTGGCTCAAAGTACAGAGGCAGGAAAACAAATAGTGAGGGAAATCCTCAATTTCCAGGCACCCGCAAACACATAAATGAAGAGCCAGAAGGTGCCCATGTATCTGCCATCAGTCACCACCGTGGGCATAATTTGAAAACGAAGGGCTGTGAAAGCTTGCCTAAGTTTTGGAAATGTGAGCCTAGTGAGGTGGATAGCCCTATCATAGTCAAGTTTGTACAGTCTGAACCAGTGGGAAAATTTGGAGTTATTAATAGCCTGCCTATCATGGTGGAGACAGTGATTAAAAATATATTCATGGAGCTTCTCCCTTGAGTTCAAGATAGATGGCTTTTCAACAGTGTGGGGTGAAATTCAAGCAGCTTCTGGTATCTTGTATTCCAGACTTCTCATTTTGCTCATAAATACAAAAATGTCAAAGAAAAGATAATGTTTTTCACTGAAAATTATGATATATTTTGTAACTGCTTTGAATGAATTCTCATAAATATTAAAGTACAATCGGTCCCTGAGTTGCAAGCATCCAACTTATAAATGACTCATAGTTACAAACGGCGGTAAAACAACAGGAAGTGAAAGATATCAACTCCTAGGAAGAAATTCACTCCTGAAAGGGTTATCATGGGGAAAAGGTGTCTCAACTGAAGTTTTATCTTTGTTTCCACAACAAGGCAGATTTTTCAAAATCTCATTATCACACCGACAGAAAGTGAGGTGAAATCTTCTTAACAGGGACACAGGTAGCAAAACAAATACCACACGGGTGTTAACTTTTTCCTGTCCTATCTAAAGCATGCATATATGTGTGTGTGTATGTGTGTGTATACGCACACACACACACTGCTGGAGTTACACTTAAAAATGTACCTGTTCTGACTTACATATAAATCAACTTAAGAATAAATCTGCACAATCTATCTTGTTATAACTTTGGGAATTCCTGTAGTTTACTTCAGTTCCAATTTTTTTTAGTTTTAGGTTCTTGGTTTTCCTTCAGATACACATATAAAACCAGGGACTTCCTCTGTGCAGTTTTGCTTAACGTTTCTCCTCCTGTTTTATTTTATTGATAGGCGAAACCTCACAAAACTATCACTCATCTTTAGCCACATGCTTGCAGAAATCAAGGCAGTCTTTCCTAATGGTCAGTTCCAAGGTGACAACTTTCGTATCACAAAAGCAGATGCTGCTGAATTCTGGAAAAAGTTCTTTGGAGAAAAGTAAGTATCAACAATTATTTTATTGTTAGCCTATTTATATAGATTGTATAGGGAATGATGAGTGTTACTAGTGACAATGTTTACTAAAAGAATATTTTTCATAAAAATCTGAGCCCTCCCCCCATTGTTCAGATTATTGATAGCTGATTTTTTTTAAGCATAAAGGTTCCACACAGGGTTATTCAGGCCATGGTTCATAAACATCTTGCGTGTTTTATCAGTTACAATATCTTCAACTCAATAGAAGTTGCTAAGGATCCTTTTTTGGATACTGACTTCATTGTTAAACATGGGCTGGTAACTGAAAGGGGTTGAGGGGAAGGATATACTAAGAACCCAGACTCAAAGGCCTAGGGACACACACACTCAATTTTGTTCGTTGTCACCTCCCAATCCCCCTCTTAAAACAGCATTCTTGAAGTATCTGACCTGTTGCAATTATGCAAGCAAATCAAAATTCAGGAAAGAGGGTGGACTCACCATGAATCTTATTTATTAATTCATAAAACAGATGGTTTCTATATTTAATTTTGAAATATATTTATGTTTGTAAAATGTAAAATAAAAAGAAGTCTGAGTGTCAGAGTGAAACATGGGAATTCCATGTTGTTTGACATCCCCACACAGCCTTGAAACTCAGTAGATATCTCATGAAACTTACAGTCATTCAACTGGATTCACTAATTGTCTCTAACAACTTGATCCACCACTAAATACTTTCTGTGAAGATAAAATGATGCCTGTACCATCATAAACTCATTGAAAGAAAAGTGTGATACTTTTTTTATCCAATGAAACATTTTTTCTTCCTTTCTTCGTGATGGGAATGTCATTACCAACTTTTTCATTTTTCTTGTGTGCAGAGAATTTGGGAGGAGAAAACATTCAGTCACTAGTTTCCTCCAGCCAGGTGTCTGTAATGCAGGCCAGATAAGCATTTTCATCCAGAATTAATTCCTAGCTGGCTGTTTCATTCATTGACCTGGCATTCAGCAGCAGCATTTTATAGTAATATTAATAACAACAGCAGCAGCAGCAGCAATTATTTAAAACCTGCTCTAACTCCTCATAGTGGTGGAGGAAGCGCCTTTCTGCGTTTCTACCCCAATTTGGGAAGAATGTGGGCGGGACCTGCTTTGCATCGTGTGATGGTGTCTAGTAGACCCCATCCAAGCCACATGTAAAGCCGCATGTAAAAGCAGCAAAATGGAGCAGAAATGACCCATGTGAAGAGGTCCTTAGATCTTGAAAACGGCACGCATAATATGATAATGTCTTCATTATATACATTATAGAACTATAACATTTTTTCAGTACTTCCACTATCACACATATACGCTGGTTGTTATTATTGAGAGGAGGATGGTTCATGAATCACAGATGGGCTTTAGTCTACAATTTCCAAGACCCCTAGCTAAAATAGCCAATGATGAGGCATTAGTTCAAATACATGTAGAGAGGCACAGTTGCTCCCTCTTGCATACGTAATATAGAAACCTCACTTTGGTTTATGAAATGTGGACAGCAGAGAATATTCTTCCTCTGGATCAAACTGTGGCATTATGGATAACCAGAGTTTGAGCTTAACTTATTATCCAAAACCACATTCCAGCCATGTTTATAGAATCTGGATTGAACTGGAACCTTGTTAGCCTTAATAGTAATGATACATTTAATAATAATAATAATAATAATAATAATAATAATAATAATAATGTTATTTATATTCCGCTCTATCTCCCCAAAGGGACTCAGGGTGGATAGATTTATTAATATTATGATATAGAGCCAGTGTTTGTTCGGTTTTTAAGTGTGAGGGAAGCAGATGAGCTGAAGACGAGTACTATATAAAGAATATATTGATTGGTCTATCAAGTGTTTCTGAATAGATGTGTTAGAGACTAAGACAAAAGTGATAGGGACTTAAGCATTGAAATGACTTTAATCAGATCAGCAGCTCTGTTCCTTAATGCATCTGTTGCAGTACTTGTACTGTTCATTGTGGTTTCCTGTTTTGCATAAACAGAAGGTGCTATCTTCAAATGTGTCAGATTTCCGCATGCCACAACACTTCTGGATTTCTCAGGCAATATTATCTCCTAAGGCTTGTGTGTATATAGTAGTGAGCTAATAAGATTTTTGTCTGTCGCAAAAGCTACAGAATTGAGACCCAAAATCACTAACTAATTTTTCTGCCAAACCATATGGCAGTGTATAATGGTGTAACGATTGTCCTAATTTGGAGAGAAAAAAACAATTCTTCCAAAGGTAACAGATTCATTGTAAAACTGTTTTTACAAGTGTTGCTTTGTTAGCTGATCCCCATTTAAACCTTTTGAATTAGACAAATTCCAGGACTGATTATTTTTATTACTTGTGTAATTCAAGTATAGTGACACCACCTTTCAGCCATATTCCCGTGGTGATTTATAAAAAGAAATATATTGTTCCAGCTGAATATAAGCTCCTAAGAACAGTTGCATTCTTGTTCAATAACCCAGTCAGATGTCTAAGAATGGTTTTCTTAGGAATTTCTCACAAAATATGATGTGTCTATACTGAGAGAAAACTTGTAAAAGTAGTGAGTCTGAATAGTAATTTTAAATTTACATTGGGCTAAAGGCACAATCCCTGAGCAGGTGTACAGAAGTAGCACTGGGACTGTGGCGCGGCTGGCTGGGAGTCAACTGCATTAAGATCACTACTGACCAAAAGGTCATGAGTTTGAAGCCAGCCCAGGTTGGAGTGAGCTTCTGGCCAATTTGTGTAGCTTGTTGTTGAACTTTGCAGCCTGAAAGACATTTGCATCTGTCAAGTAGGAAAATTAGGTACCACTTATGTGGAGAGGCTAATTTAACTTATTTACGAGGCCATTAAAAATATCCAGCAAGCATGTGGGGAATGAGGAAGTACTTCATCAGTGTCGCAGATAGACGGTTAAGCGACAGCTCCTCTGGTGGCCAGAAAAGTTGGAATATTAAATAGCCTCTGTCTGTCTGTCTGTATGTGTTGTGTGTCTCTGGCATTGAATGTTTGCCTGTATATGTACCTTGTAATCCACCCTGAGTCCCCTGCAGGGTGAGAAGGATGGATTATAAATACTGTAAGTAAATAAAGAAATAAATAAATTGACATACAGGGATAGCCAGATCCCAGATTTTGAGACCCAGAGCTTTAATTTTTTAGGGCCCTGGCAGGTATGGAGACCATCAATACATACGCACTGAAAAGAGGAAGGGAGAAAAATAAATGTGGTGGCACCTTTGAGATGAATTGGCTTTTATTTTAGCAGGAGCTTTTGTGAGCATAAACTCCTTTCCTCTGATATACTACAAGTGGTATTAAGGCCTCGTATATAAAGCACACTGATACAGTTGAAAGAGAGGAATAGGATGTAATAGGATTCAGAAAGATGCAAATCGTGTTCCATGCCCTAAATTTTGAAAAGCCTTGGCAAGGTGATCAATGTGTTTCACATCTTTACAGTGATCAACGAATCTGCTTCCCAAAGTCAGTTTCCCTAAGTTGAAGACACTCTCTGAGTAATTGCTCTGTCTTCTTTTGTAATTCTCTTTTTCAAGGATTGTTACCTGTATTTCCCATACTGTGTGTCAAGGAAGGTTGAAATGTTTGGCAACTGGTTTTTAAATGTTGCCGTTTGTAATATCAGATCTGTGTCCATTAATCTTCTTGGTAGTACAGACATAGAAACATTTCAATTGAGAGGAATGTCTACATTTACATACTTTTATTTGTCATTATAGGGTGGCCTATAAATAATAATAATAATCATCATCATCATCATCATTATCGTTATTATTATATTACCCTAAACTAAAAAGGGGTTTTGTTTTTTCTCACAGCAAATATTGTTCAATCCGGAAGGGGGAGTCTTTGAAGTTCATTTTAATCAACTCAGGGATAAGGAGAAGCTTGTCAAAGTAAAATCTCTGGAGCTTTTTATTAGTCCCGAATGGCCCTCTAAATATCAGTTGATTGAGAAGGATTATACGACCTCCTGAGTTTAGTAACAGGGTGAAAGTAAAGTTTCAATACGCGAAAAAGTTCAAAAGTGTCAAATAGTTGACCAGGTTTTTCTCTATGAATAATGTTATTTCAAGAGATTCAGTGAAGACATTTTCACAGTGGTTTGGTTTTTATAAGTCTTCCTCTGTCAGTTGGTGCAGTTCCTTGTATTTGAATACCTTTGCTTGGCCAGTTTTCTTTAGCTAGTGAACACTTGGCAGGCTGTGTAGTTATTAAAGACACTATGCAAGGGCAGATATCCTCTTCCACTGTATGAAAAAAGAATATTCAGTCTGACTGTACTTTCACTTTCTGCAGTGCTTGCAGAATATTTTCTGCTTCATTGAGTATTTCTTCTGCTTGGTAAGGTTCTCAGGCGTTACTAAAAGGCAGATAAATGCATTTATTTATTTATTTATTTATTTATTTATTTCAATCATTTATATCCTGTCTTTCTCACCTCCGAAGAGGGACTCAGGGCGGCTTACAAAAGACCAGTGAACTCTGCCATTCTCTGCTAGTATTTCTAAGTCTTACTGTTTAATCCAGTGGTTCTCGGGCTTTTAAAGTCAGTCATCCCCTCTTTTTGGTCTCTTTCCCTGTGTCACATTTCAACAATGGAAACATAAACTTAGTTTACAAGTATATTTTCTTATAAAATATAAAACATAACAAAACACAACAATGTCATAAATGTTTTCTTAAATTAGTATGTTAATATTTATTTTTGCATTTAATGTAAACTTCCAGATACAAAAAGTTTTGAATTCCTATTATTTTCTCATGGTGTGTCCCATTATTTCATTTTTCGGTGATCTATTTTGGGGCTACTTTTTGTTAGAATTTGTTATGGGTAATGAATTTCATTTCTTATCAAATCCTGAAGCACTGAAATCTCTTGAAGGAGTTTCGGCTGCTTTTGTTGAATTTATATGTGATGAATTTGCTTGCTTAAAGGATTTATAACAAAAGTTAGTATTTTTTGTTAATTTCTTCAAACCATTTTCCTCCTGTGGATTGGTGTTGTTGTTTTGGTTACAAATCAGCAGTGGTACCTGTAACAGAAAATCAGAAGTAAATTGAATGGAAACCCAATAAAATCAGAAATTATAAATAGAAATGTCCTAAAAATGAAATGAAATAATTTTGAAAGCAGTACCTAGAAGCTTCAGGAGTACATTGATAATAAGTGAGACCATTGAACTCTAGGCTTTGTTCTGTGTTCACCATGTCCCCTTTTGTTAAAAAAGGTTTTTTTTAATGAAGACAACAATTTTATATAAAGTCTTTTTTAGAAACTACAGCATATTGGAAATAAAACTGTGACTCAAGCAACAAAACCTTTATTTTGCTTTTTTCAAAAACATAGGACCATAGTGCCTTGGAAAGTGTTTCGGCAGTGTCTACATGAAGTACATCAGATAAGTTCTGGTTTGGAAGCAATGGCTTTGAAATCTACCATTGATTTAACTTGCAATGACTACATTTCAATTTTTGAATTTGATATCTTCACAAGATTATTTCAGGTAACATATACAACTGAATGCACTGCTGAACTTCGTTTTTCTGTGTTACTTACAGCCAAGTGTGTATGTGTGTATGTATCTATATAAATAAAAATCTAATGTTTGTTTGTGGGATTAGCATAACTCAAAAACCACTGGACGAATGGACACCAAATTTGGACACAATACATCTATCAGGCCAACAATTGACCATCACTCATAAAAACACTGAAAAACACAGCAGAAGAGACTTTAAAAGCCAAAAAACAAAAAAAATACATTACAACGCATGTGCAAAACCACATATATACACAAACACACATATACACAAATATATATACACACATATACGCATTTATTTATTTATTTATTTATTTACAGTATTTATATACTGTTTTTCTCACCCCTAGGGGGTGAGAAACACATATACACATATACACAGACTGGGGCACAGCAATGTGTGGTAGGGAACGGCTAGTCTCATATAAAAATTCAATACTTCTTCAAAGTGGACAATCTTTGGAATTCCATAGAACTGTAAAATCTGAAGAGATTCCAAAGACAATCTAATCAAATATCTACAAATACCTGGATAAACTGTCTTTGAAAAAGGGCTATAATCCTCTGCAGACACTAAAGTCAGCTGAGGGACATTTACTTAATCCAGTCAAAACCTGACTGGCAACTGTTATCCAGAGGACCTTTTAATCAGCCACCCCAAGACTGTAGAAGGATCTGCCAGAAGAGATTTGACAGCTAACTGTCCTGGCACAATTAAAGATTTTTGTCTTTTGGGAGGCCTATGGGAAGTGTGGTGGAAATTCCTTCTTTAGAGGCTTTTAAACAGGCTGTATGGTATAAAGAACTATGGTCACCTAATATAGGAATATCCCACCAGGTGCCACCTGTTGTAAAGGATACCAATTATAAAGAAATCCACCCCCCCAATGATCACACATGATGAAGGACTGAGGGAAGAATCTGCCTCAGGCAGACTCACACACAAGATGGAGAACAAAAGGCAAACCACGAGGTTTGGCCCAAGGCGAAACCATGATGGAAATCAGTGCACACACACACCCTCACTCACAGAAAGCCCAAACAGTGGAGAGCCACCACTGTATATATCTATTATTCCTCAAAGAGGTTTATTTCCTATTACAAAACATTTCCCAAATCTCTCCCTTCCTTCCCTTCAGTCTCTTAGTTCCTCCTTCTTCACCACCATTTCCACAACTGATCTTAAAATTGCTGCTAACTTCTTCTTTTGGCTCCAGTTTTGACCACCTCCAGCTACTGAGCTTCCCCCCCCCCCATTTCTATCAGCCTATCAGACTGCACTTCTGCCTTAGATACTGCATAGACTGTTCCACCCCTGAGCCTGCTTTAGCTTCAACAAGCAGGGGCCTGGCTTCTGCCTTTTAAACCAACCCATTTACACACCAAACCTTCAGAGTAGACCAACCCTTTACACACCAACCGTTCAGGGTAAGACAATCCATTAGAGATGACATCTGTCAGGGATACTTTGTGTTTTTCCTGCATGGCAGGGGGTTGGACTAGATCGCCAATGCTGTCTCTTTCAACTCTGCGTTGATTCTACCGAGTACATTTTAAACAATGATTTTTAATTTTACCTTTATTAATATTGGTGTTTTAATATTTGCCATCTGTGTTTTAATATTTGTATTTTAATGGTATTATGTTTTATCTCGGTATTTTAGCTATGTTGTACCTCAGGTCAAGCTGGGATACAACATACTATTATTTATTGTAGACCTCTGGTAGATATCTATATAATTTTGAGTATATTTTTAGTTAGTTTGCTGTTGTATCTGATTCTTTCTTAAAGCTTTTTTCATGTACATTAAAACATTCTAAGTTTCAGAATAATAACTAAGGAATAATAGCGGTGAGAAAAGATTCTCGTTCTTTTCTGTCTGAGTGCAGGTTGAAGATGGACATATGAAACATTTGGTATGAGAGTTTAAAATAGGACCTACTTACATTTTTTGTAATGTAATTTTTAATAGTGATCATAGTAGTTTGCATATTTAGATATGTGCATGACTGCTGTGATAAATTACTTACAGCACTAGATACAATTGGCTCATCTCATAATCAGCAGAGATGTTATATGTTATATGTAAAGGGGAGAAGGTTTTTCATTAGTATACAGTAGATTTAAATATTGACACCAAGATTTTATAGCTAGTTTGACTGTTGGCTTCTGGTTCCTTTATGACTATGTAAATTCATTTTCCGCTTCTTTCACACACTGATACCTCCTAAAATGGATGTTGTGTTTTATTTATTTTTTAGAACTGGAATGGGACACAGATGTAATTTACTAACTGAGTGACTAAACCAGGGGTCCTCAAACTATTTAAGCAGAGGACCAGTTCTGAGGACTCGGGGGGGGGGGGGGGGGGGGGACTATAGTTTGGAAAAAAATTATCTGAAATTTCCATGGCTTACCAATCCAGATTCAGGCAGAAGTACCTTAACGAATCCTCCATTTTGGGCTAAAGTAGCTCATATGACTATAATAGTAATGGAGGGCAAGTACTTGACAATGTTTTCAGATGAGAATTGGGACACATACTGTACATTTTTTTCAATTTTTGTTTAGCCTTGGAATTCAATATTAAGAAACTGGAACTTCTTAGCTGTGACACATCCTGGATATATGGCATTTCTGACCTATGATGAAGTTAAAGCACGGTTACAGAAATACAGCACCAAACCAGGAAGGTAATGTGTTTTAACTCAAACATCATTAGAAACATGTCATTTGGCCTGAGCCTCTTTGTTGTCCTTTCATTCAGTCGTTTCCGGCTCTTTGTGACTTCATGGATCAGCCCACACCAGAGCTCCCTGTCAGTCGTCACCACTCCAGGCTCCTTCAAGGTCAATCCAGTCACTTCAAGGATACTATCCATCCATCTTGCCCTTGGTCGGCCCCTCTTCCTTTTTCCTTCCATTTTCCCCACCATCATTGTCTTCTCTAAGCTTTCCTTTCTTCTCATGATGTGGCCAAAGTACTTCATCTTGGCCTCTACTATTCTTCCCTCCAATGAGCAATCAGGCTTTATTTCTTGAAGTATGGACTGGTTGTATCTTCTGGCGGTCCAAGGCACTCTCAGAACTTTCCTCCAACACCACAGTTCAAAAGTGTCTACCTTCGCTAAGCCTTCCCTATGGTCCAGCTCTCACATCCATAGGTGACTATTGGGAATACTATTGCTTTAACTATGTGGATCTTTGTTGCCAGTGTGATGTCTCTACTCTTCACTATTTTATCAAGATTGGTCATTGCTCTCCTCCCAAGAAGTAAGTGTCTCCTGATTTCCTGGCTGCAGTCTGCATCTGCAGGAATCTTCGTACCTAGAAATTCAAAGTCTGTCACTGCCTCCATGTTTTCTCCCTCTGTTTCCCAGTTGTCAATCATTCTTGTTACCATAATCTTGGTTTTTTCAATGTTTAACTGCAACCCAGCTTTTGCGCTTTCTTCTTTCACCTCAGCTCCTCAGCTCTTCCTCACCATCAAAGTGGTAGCATCTGCATATCTAAGGTTATTAATGTTTCTTCCAGCAATTTTCACCCCAGCCTTGCATTCCTCAAGCCCTGCACATCGCATGATGTGTTCTGCATACAAGTTGAATAGGTTGGGGGAGAGTATACAACCCTGCCGTACGCCTTTCCCAATCTTGAACCTGTTGTTCCATGGTCAGTTCTTACTGTTGCTACTTGGTTCTTATACAGATTCCTCAGGAGAGAGATAAGGTGATTTGGTTGGCCCATACCACCAAGAACTTGCCACAATTTATTATGATCAACACAGTCAAAGGCTTTAGAATAGTCAATAAAACAGAAATATATGTTTTTTCTGAAACTCCCTGCCTTTCTCTATTATCCAGTGGATATTGGCAATTTGGTCTCTCGTTCCTCTGCCTTTTCTAAACCTGAGCCTCTACTTTAATACAATGTTCATAATTGCTGTTGTTCATGTAATGAAAGACTAAAGTCCTGATGTTTGTTTGATATGATAGTTTGACTCATACTGCTTTTTAAAAACTCAGATGCACTTGAGAAAACTATATAAATGTTTAATCAATATGGACTTCTTCTGTGATTTGTTGAGTATTCGTAGATTTGTGGTAGATTTTCAAGCTTTCTGCCAAAACCACAAACACTTTTTTTAAAACACACACATACACAAGTTTAATAGGAATTGTGTCCTGAGTAGTCAGTAGACTATAATCAGCAGTGCAACAGTAAAATCATACTTGATCTTCTTTATTGGTGTGCTTCAATAATTTGATTATGTGGCCTTATTTTCTTAGCTCAGTTCCCTGTCCTTCATTCTTCATTCTTCATCACTATTTCTAAGTTTCTCTGATGCATTTCTAACTTTATGTAGTAGATAGTCTTCATGCTGTTGGCTCCAGAACAAAATAAACTCTTTCTGTAGCTGGAGAGATGTTTGGCATATAGCATATTATGTATCTAAAAAATTCCTAATGTTGACCTCACATTGTTCAGACAATGTTAAGCCATAGTTTGTTTTTGTTTTGTTTTTTTTAAAAAAACCAACATTTTATCATAGTCCAATACATTTGTTATACATTGTTTGTTTTACAGCAGATATATATTATTCAATACAATCTACCATACTTTAACTTTTGGCATCTACTATTATTTACTTGCTTATACGTATTATCTTTCCCTTACCACTGTGCTCCCCTCCCAAGCCATGGCTTTTACATATCATCTGTCCAAAATTTCAATTCTTCTTCTTTCTTTTTTAATCTTCAATCCATAGCCATAGTTTAGCCTAACTGTGTTTTATACATACAAGCCTCTTCAAGTCAATTAACGATGGGCTATATCCAATTTTAGTTCTAACTAGAGCAAACCAGTTGGAATATGTATGATTTATAGGGTAGTAAGCAATGTTTTCCATTCGTTTTAAAAGTAATCTAGCTGGAACTAAAATTAGATTTAGTCACATATCCAAGTAACCTGTGCTCATCCTTGAAGTGGACAAATGGGTAAAATGTGCATTAGAATTAGATAACCTGTTATTTACTGTGTCTGCATCAACCATATTGCCCAGGTCCTTTGTGAATCTCTTTTTGCAGCAACTTTATCTGCAAAATACTGAGCAAATTGTTGGTAATAAGGTGTTGTGTAGTCTGATTTATCTTTGTATAGTCCAGGGTATTAAAGACATCTGATCACTTATAGTGAAGTTTTAAACATGTAGAAGGGTACGGTTAACAAGCCCTGATCCAGATACTGTTCTTTAATAATGATGATTTTTCCCCCTTCACTAAATACACTTTTGTTCCTTTGATTTACAGCTATATTTTCAGACTAAGTTGTACTCGGTTAGGGCAGTGGGCCATTGGATATGTCACTGGTGATGGAAATATTTTACAGACTATACCTCACAATAAGCCTTTATTTCAAGCTCTGATTGATGGCAGCCGGGAAGGATTGTGAGTAGAAATGGTTACTACTTCAAATACAAAATGGAATTTCTGGTTCATGGATTGCAATTAAGGATAGGGGGTACTTTAGGTAGATCATGATTGCAATGACTCATTATTTCCGTTTTATCTCATAACTCTTCAGGGAAGAATATAAAGCAGGAAAACAATGAACAGTTTTCTTGTACCCTCAGTTTAGGTGAAATAGAATTTATATGCAGACTGCAGTGAAATTGAAACACAAATAGGAAGGGGGATACAATTAGAGGCAACTATGATATTCTGGTGGAAAATATGAATATTGCTCTTGCAATGATGTCCAGAACTGAGAAGAAATGATCAGAAAAAAACAATGGGAAGAGGGGAACTTTGGAACCTTCACTTCACTTTACCTTAATAGTCTTGTGGAAAAATTCTTCTTGAGACAGAATGAAGCAATTTCTGTTGTCTAGTTTTTATCAGATTAATCTAAAAGTCACTAGCTTTTTGTTTCCAAAAGGTGTTAGCAATTTGATTATCTTGAGCACATAGAAATGTATTTAGAGTTGGTTACAAATTGTGCAAAGTAAAATGGTCGATGTTTATTTTCAATCCAGCTATCTCTACCCAGATGGACGGAGTTATAATCCTGATTTGACAGGACTCTGTGAGCCAACCCCACATGATCACATAAAAGTTACACAGGTATGCTGCATATTATCAATTGGAATAAACACATCAATCAATAAAAACATAAATAATAGATAAAAATTCTAAAAATTGAAAGTGATATTTGTGGAATCTATGTGTATTTCAAGGGTACTAAATACCCAGAGGTATGAAATCCATTATCCAAGTTGGTGGTAAAAAAAAAAATGGCAGAAGGTGGGCTTTTAGAAGGCACTCTTGAAAAAGTGTTTAGTTCATTAAGTATATCTATTTAGTAAAACTCTGATTGTTTCAGTCTTCAGGAAAATATCAAAGGTAAAATATGAATTAATTTTGGCTATTTCTGTTTGTTTTATTTCATGATACTTTGAACGATATTAACATTTTATTTGACTTTTTAACAGTGTAATTTAGTAATAAATCTGTAACCATTTTCATGCAGATTAAATTTTATTAATGCTCTTCTTGGGCAATCTTATATGTTAGTGTTTGAAGTGATCCCTTGTTTTTCCACAAAATATTGATGGTTTATTCAACTTTTAGAGATTGGGTTTTTTTCCTGTTCTGGTTTTACAGAGTTTCTAATGCATTTCTGTATGCTGTGGTTAGATTTTTGCTAACATTAGTTTTGACTTCATTTAAAAAAAAGAAAAATATTTTAGTATGAATAAAAAATCAGTACAGCTTGAAATAAAGTAATGCAAATTCATTCTGTGCTTCTTGCTGTAGGATATACTATACTCTTGTTGTCATTTTTTGTTGCTAACTGAGACATAATTGGTATCTAAATGTAAATGTTAAGTGAAATATAAAATATCAACTTTCTGAAAGTGAACATATACAATGTTATAAAATTATAACTTTCGAACACATCTTTGATTTGTGTTTTATGTGCTGTAAAGGCAGTAGATATAATTAAGGAGGAAGAGCAGAATTTGACTAAAGGCAAGATTTTCTGAAAGATAAATAGTCTGAACATATTTCAAGGAGTAGTTTAGTTCTGGTTTCCAACAAAAAAAGTCTTAACTTTGCCTTGATTAATTTGAAGAAATAAACTCAGTCATTTCCATCAGATCTCAATGCTCACAGTTCTGCCACAGCCACATGTGTGTATATGATCCTGCAAATGAAGATTCTGCAACTTTTGAATTCTGTTTTAAATGTTATTTTAAATGTATATTGTTAAGGCATCAAATGGCTTCCTGGTTGTAAGCCGCCTTGAGTTACCTTTGGGTTTGAGATAGGCGGGATAGAAATATCATAAATAATAAATAAATATGATAGTGCTCGTTTTTTCCTTGTGGAGTGGACTGTACAGTTGGTAGAATTTTACTCCATAATTAATTTGTCTTCATAGTAACCCAGGTTCCTTTGTAATTAATAATGGGAAGTTATTGCATATGGTATATGTATAGAATTACATACAAAACAAGGCATACAAATTTAAAATATTGTCATAAGCTTATTTTTGTATCACATCAATGTCATCAAAATTTTATAGCTTCACTTGTGTACTGTATTGCTAAGGAGAAAAAGCTGGGTTATCAAACCATTCTTAAACTTTGTTAAACTTAACAACCTGTGTACGCACTACAGTAGTGGAATAACTAGTAACTACAGTAGTCTCATTTTCAGGAACAATATGAGTTGTATTGTGAAATGGGTTCCACATTCCAACTTTGTAAAATTTGTGCCGAAAATGATAAAGATGTGAAGATTGAACCTTGTGGGCATCTGATGTGTACATCTTGCCTTACAGCATGGCAGGTAGGTTGTCTTTCTTTTACACTGTCACAGTTAGACTTCTTTTACTAGTCAGATTTGCTCTACTGGTGGAAGTATGCAGAAGTGTCTTTGGTACCAAATTTTGAAAGTCTTTCTTAGAAGATAAATGCAGAATTCCATAACCTGTTTGATTATGGTTGCTCAGTCATGAGAGTTAGAAGAAAGGTGAATTTTTACCTTAGTAATAAGTGTACTAGCCCCCCCCCCCATGCACAGTTTCACTTTTTGTGTTCTCAATTACCTGCAGTAAACCATGATCTGAAAACATTAAATGGAAAATTCAAGAAATAAGTTTTAAATTGCACCATGTTCTGAATTGTTTGATGAAATCTCACGCCATCCTGCCTGGGACATAAATCATCCCTTTGTCCATGTTGTGTATGCTACCTCCCTGTTAGTCACTTAGTATCCCTCTCAGTTATCAGATCAACTGTTGCAGTATCACAGTGCTTGTGTTACATAACTCTTTTTTACTTAATAATGACCCCAAAGTACAAGAGTAGTGATGCTGGCAATTTGGATGTGCCAAAGATAAACCATAATATGTTTAAGTTAAAAGGGCAACATTCTCAACTTAATAAGGAAAGGGAAAATGTATGCTTAGGTTCCTAAGACCTATAGCAAAAATGAATCTTATATTCATGAAATTCTGAAGAAAGAAAGAAAGAAATTCATGCTAGTTTTGATGTCATACCTCAACCTGCAACAACTATGGCTGCAGTGCACGGTAAGTACTTAGTTAAGATGGAAAAGATATTTAATTGGTAGGTGGAAGACATGAACCGAAAATGTGTTCCAATTGACAGCAGTATGTTGAACCAGAAAGCACTGAACCTATTCAAATACTTTAGCAAGGAATCTCTTGAAATTTCTGACACCAAGTCCTTTACAGCAAGTAGGGATGACTACATTGATTCATTAATACATTTGGCCCCCCAAATATGAAAATTACTGGAGAGCCTGTGACTGCCAACAAAGAAGCTACTGCCACATCGAGTAGAGTTGGGAAATTGAATAGGGAAAAAAGATACCATCCAAAGCATATCTTCAGTTATGATAAAAGCAGATATTCAGTGGAACCTACATTCATAAAAGTGCAAAAGAGGAACCAGGGCATAAAACATGGAAGGACAAATTAACTGATACTATGTGCAACTCTACAGGGCGTATGATAAAGCCAGGGTGAAGACCTCACACCTTCAAAAACAAAAATTGTCTGTCATGTTCTGGCAACATAATCAGGAAGCGTGGCAGCCATTTTGTTTATGGAGTAATAGTAATAAATCTTTATTTATGTTCCGCTTTGTCCCACGAAAGGACCTAAAGTGGCTTCTAAGATATTAAAATACAACACAAAATCAACAGTAATCGAACAGATAAATATAAAACATTGTAAACAATCAAAGTTAAAAAAAATAACTAAGCATTTAAAACCATGCAGAATGGTTGCATCAATTCATCATCCCAGAAATTGAGAGGTAAAGAATCCTTGGAAGAGGAAGGTTTGGAATTTAAACTGCTGTTAATAATAGGCAATTAACACATCCTGAATATGCTTACTATGACTATAAAAATGAAAATGTTGAGGTTGTCTTTACCTCCAAATACACTTCAGTGCTTCAGTCCCTAGATCAAGGCATCAATCATTTTGCCAAAGCCACACACCTCTTGTATTTGATCACATTTGATCAGCAATGGATGCATACTCTATTGTGGACATAATGCAATGCTGGAAATCATTCACTATTGATGAGCCAATCACATCCTTCAAAACAGCATTGGATTAATTTAAACCAGAATCTGTAAATGCCTGCCAGAAGAAGTTATGGAGTAGAGTTGTGAATGATTTTAAAGACTTCTTGGTGATGGAAAAGTCAGAAAGATTATTTACATGGCAAGACATGTTGGTAGGGAAGGATTTGCTGACAGATTGGATAGAAAAGTGAAAGAACATACGGAAGGCCATACGAGAAGTCTTAAGAAATGATGAATTGCAATAACTTGTTAAGTCATCTATGGAGGAAGATGATGAAGATGAAAATAAAGCAGAACCAGCAATGTAGACGTTGCTGAAATTTGCCAATATTTTTCAAATTGCCCAAATATTAAGGACCACATTGTGGAATGGGATAGTTGGATGGAATGCAGCATTAAAATCACCCATGTTGTTGTTGTTCATTCGTTCAGTCGTCTCCTCGCTCATGACATCATTGAGGTGCTCAAGCTCCAGCGCCCCGACAAGGCGGTGATCCTTTGCTGGAGTCTAGCTACCGGCTGCAAAAATTCCACCTTATTTTACCTTATTTTGCTTAGTTTAGATTCTGGCTGTTTCTTCCCAATGTGTTGCTGTTCATTCATTCAGTCATTTCTGACTCTTTGTGACCTCATGGACCAGCCCACATCAGAGCTCCCTGTTGGCCGTCACGACCCCCAGCTCCTTCAAGGTCAATCCAGTCACTTCAAGAATCCCATCCATCCATCTTGCCCTTGGTTGGCCCCTCTTCCTTTTTCCTTAAATTTTCCCCAGCATAATTGTCTTCTCTAAGCTTTCCTTTCTTCTCATGATGTGGCTGAAGTACTTCATCTTGGCCTCTACTATTCTTCCCTCCAATGAGCAGTTGGGCTTTATTTCCTAAAGTATGGACTGGTTAGATCTTCTCGCTGTCCAAGGCACTCTCAGAACTTTCCTCCAACACCACAGTTCAAAAGCATCTGTCTTCCTTTGCTCAGCCTATGGTCCAGCTCTCACATCCGTAGGTGACTACGGGGAATACCATTGCTTTGACTATGCGGATCTTTGTTGCCAGTGTGATATCTCTACTCTTCACAATTTTATCAAAGTCTGTCACTGCCTCCACATTTTCTCCCTCTGTTTCCCAGTTGTCAATCATTCTTGTTGCCATAATCTTGGATTTTTTTATGTTTATCTGCAACTCAGATTTTGCGCTTTCTTCTTTCACCTTGATTAGAAGACTCCTCAACTCCTCCTCACTTTTGGCCATCAAAGTGCATCTGCATATCTAAGGTTGTTAATGTTTCTTCCAGCAATTTTCACCCCAGCCTTGCATTCATCAAGCCCCGCACATAGCATGATGTATTCTGCATACAAGTTGAATAGGTTCGGTGAGAGTATGCAGCCTTGCCGTACGCCTTTCCCAATCTTGAACCAGTCTGTTGTTCCGTGGTCAGTTCTGACTGTTGCTACTTGGTCCTTGTACAGATTCCTCATGAGAGAGACAAGGTGGCTTGGGATGCCCATCCCACCAAGAACTTGCCACAATTTATTATGATCCACACAGTCAAAGGCTTTAGAATAGTCAATGAAGCAGAAGTAGATGTTTTTCTGAAACTCCCTGCCTTTCTCCATTATCCAGCGGATATTGGCAATTTGGTCTCTCGTTCCTCTGCCTTTTCTAAACCCAGCTTGAACATCTGGCAACTCTCTCTCCATGTATTGCTGGAGTCTTCCTTGCAGGATCTTGAGCATTACCTTACTGGCATGTGAAATAAGGGCCACTGTACGGAAGTTTGAGCAGTCTTTAGCATTTCCCTTTTTTGGTATGGGGATATAAGTTGATTTTTTTTCCAGTCTGATGACCATTCTTGTGTTTTCCATATTTGCTGGCATATGGCATGCATCACCTTGACAACATCATCTTTCAAGATTTTGAACAGTTCAGCTGGGATCCCGTCGTCTCCTGCTGCCTTGTTGTTAGCAATGCTTCTTAAGGCCCATTCAACCTCACTCCTCAGGATTTCTGGTTCTAATTCACTCACCACACCGTCAAAACTATCCTCAATATTATTATCCTTCTTCTACAGATCTTCTATAGTCTCTCCACCTTCTCTTGATCTCTTCAGCTTCTGTTAGGTCCCTGCCATCTTTGTTTCTTATCATGCCAATTTTTGC